ATGACAAAGTGGTGTGTCCCCTGGTTTTCCTCACTGCCTTCCATAAGTCCTAGACAGGGCCCTCTAGAAGCTTTCAACTCAAACTGCCAACAGCAAGAGAGAAAAAAAAAAAATCCTCCAAAAAGAGCCTGTTCCCCATATTTAAAGGACTACAAAATAGGTGTGCTAAAAACAGAAAACTCTTTTAGCAATACCTGCCTTAATTGAGTCAAATACCAATGGTAGTACTGTCCCCTGTCCCCTGTCCCCAGGGTTTCAGCAGGGCTAAGCAGAGAGCTGGTCTTCCACCCATCCTCTGATTCCCCCATCTGTTGGTATTAGAAGGGCAGAGCAGGAAGGCAATCTTTCATCACACACCTGAAAGAAGCAGGCTGCAATCTCCCCAGCAGGGTAGTGTTAGTGGGTCTAGTGGGAACTCTACAACAGTTAGACTGAATGGGGTGGTGTGAGGTGGGATGGTTCATACTGTGCTTCCCTTCCATGCTGACAAGTATGTTCCAGAAGGAGCAGATCCTCTGCCCTCACCTGGCGTCACCATGTTGGAATGAAGTGGTGGCAGGTGGAGCTAGCTGGCCCCCAGCTTTCCTTCCATCCTCTTCCCTGTGTTGGCAGGGTACTGTGGGGAGCTGAGTTTCTACCTCCACCCTGTAGCAACAAAGCAATGTGAATTGTCCCTGCCCATCCACCTTCTCAGGTGATGGCAGGCCCAAGCAGGGAACTGAGCTCACATCCCCACTCGAAGAAAATGCGGTGATACAAGCAGGTGTACCAAACTTAGACCTCAGCCTCCTGCACTGAGGCTGTGTGAACGGGCATTCCACTTCAGTTGAGATGGTGTCAGCAGGGCCCAGTAAGAAACCTGACACTAACAAGCCCTCACCCTACAACACAACAAAGGGATTGCCTGATAAAACAGAAAAGATTAAACAAGATCCAGAGTCTCATAATTTAATGCCCCAAAACTCCAAGATGAAATACAACAACAACAAAAAATCACTTATACTAACAGACAGGAATATCAGAAATTAAATAAGAAAAGACAATCAAAGATATCAACACTGAGATAAATGAGATGTTGAAATTATCTGAAAAGGATTTTAAAGAGGCCATTCTAAAAATGCATTGACAAGTTATCTTGAATTACAAGTTATCTTGAAACAAATACCAAAATAGAAAAAAAAAGTTATTTTAAAAAGGACACACTAGAACTGAAAAATACACCAACAAAAAATAAAACCTTGAATGGACTTAAGAGCAGAGTGAAAATGATAGTGGACAGAATCAACGAACTTGAAGACAGATCAACAGATTTTACCCTGTTTGTGTAACAGAAGGAAAATAGATTGAAAAAAATATTAGCTCATCAGGGACCATAAGACAATAATAAAAGAGTCAACATTTGTATCATTAGAGTTCCAGAGAGAACAGAAAGTGGGACTGACAAGGTATTTGAAGAAATAAAGGCCCCAAACTTCCCTAATTTGGTGAAAGACATAATCTTACAGATTTTAGAAGCAGAGGAAAGACCATACAGGATAAGCTCAAATAAATATATGCCAAGACACGTCATAACTAAACTTCTGAAAACTAAAGAATAAGAAAAAAATCGTGAAAGCAGCCAGAGATAACAGATATATTACTTATGGGGAACGTGAATTTAAATGAAGATGAAGGCCCAAAGGAAGTGGCACATTTTTCAGGTACTCAAAGAAAAGAATTACCAGCTCCAAATTCTATATCCAGGGAAAGTATCTTTAGGAATGAAGGTAAAATAAAGATGTTCTCTGACAAATGAAAACTATAAGAATTTGATGCTAACAAATCTACTTTTAAAGAATGGCTAAAAAAAAATTCCTCTAAACAGAAAGGAAATGATAATAGAAGACTTTGAACTTCAATGAGTAAAAAGAACCTTGGAATGAGTAAATATTGGGTTAAGTATAATAGATTATCCTTCTTCAATGGTAGAAGCAAAAATTGTAATACTTCCTGATAGGGTATTTTACGTATGTATAGGAAATTAAAATAATATACTTCCAAAATGAGGAAGATAAAGATACCTAAATGTTACCTAAAGTAACATTTCTACACTTCACTCACAGTGGCAAAACGTTGGCACCACTAAACTATGATAAGTACGTATGCATATTGTAATACCTAGAGCAACAACTCATAAAACTATACAAAGTGATGTGCTCAGCATGCTCTAGACAAATCAAGATGTGATCTTCCACTGACATGTGTCGCTAAAGCAGGCTTCGATGGAAATACATTGCTTTGACTTCATGTATTAGGAAAGAAAGTCTGAAAAATTAATGATCAAACCAGAGGTTGGAAAACTACTGACTGTAGACCAAATCTAGTCTGCCTTGTTTCCTAAAGTTTTATTAAAACAGATTTGTGATCATTTATTTCTATATAGTTTATGGCTATTTTTATGCCACAAGGTCAGAGTTGAGTAGTTTGTGACAGAGATATTAAGGCCTGCAAAGCCTGAAATATTTGCTATACTGCTCTTTACAGAAAAGTTTCCCAACCGCTGGAACGTATATTACAAGAAACTACAAAAATGACAAAATCAAGCTAAAGAACTTAAGGAGTGGAAACAATCAAGGAAAAAGCAGAAACTCATGGTATAAAATACATACACACAATGAAACAATCAACAAAGCCCAAAATTAGACCTCTGAAAAAATTAATATTTACAACCCCTTAGCAAGAGTGACCATGAAAAAAAAAAGGGGGGGGGGCAAATTTCAGGAATGAAAAGGAGGACACAACACTAGTGACCCTACACTTAATTAAAAAGATAAAATGAGAATATTATAAGTAACTGTGTGAAAATAAATCTCACAACTTAAACTACACAATTTCTTTGAGAAAAAAAACCCCAAAAAACAAACAAACAAAAAACCCCCCATAAAAACAAGAAATATAAAAACCCAGTAACCTTATACTTATTGGGCTGGCGGGTTAGCTCAGTAGGTTCGAGAGTGGTGTTGTGACACCAAGGTCAGGGGTTTGGATCCCTCACCCTCCAAACGCAAGAACAAACAAAGAAAACAAAACTATACGTATTACGGACATTGAATTCATTACAATAAATTAGTACTACGGTCAGGGTTTTTAACTTGTGTTTTGGTTACCAGATTAATAAACATTTAACAGTGTTGTTCTGTTCTTCCGTAGCTCTTCTTTTTCCTATCAGAAACATGCAGAAAATAAGGATCATAAGGCACGTGACGTTCAAAGTTTGACCACAGGACTCTTCCAATCAAGGAAACGTCCGCGCCCTGCACGTGCACTCACCGGCTGGCGTCTGTCCCGGGCACGTACTGCGAGCAGCGGGAGTGCAGCAGCGGGATGAGCCGCAGGTCGCTCCATCGCTTCTCCCAGCGCAGACCTGGGGACGCGGGCCACGAGGAGCACGACAGCGTGTCCTGAGAAAAACACACATACACGCAGACTTGGTTTTTCGTTGTTTTTTTTTTTAATTCCCCTTTCAGTGCATTGAATTTCTATGCCACGAGGAGCACGACAGCGTGTCCTGAGAAAAACACACATACACGCAGACTTGGTTTTTCGTTGGTTTTTTTTTAATTCCCCTTTCAGTGCATTGAATTTCTATGCCGCAAACCCTTTTCATTTAAGGGATTTTTCCCCCCTAAATGATCAAAAAACTTTTATCGAATATCATTAGTAGACATCCATACTCATTGACACTAAAACTATATTTATTAACCTCCTTACTAATCAGATTCTGCAAGAAGGTGAGGAAGGCACCGTTGAGATGAAGAATGCTATTGAAAACGTTAAGAAGATAGAAAAGAATAAGAGGGTGACATGTGAATTCATTCAAGAATGGGAAAAATAGGGCAAAACTATAACTGCAATGGACCAGTGACAAAAATCAAAACAAGCAGTAGTTCGTTCTACTAGCCAGTATGTCCTGAGTAGCTGCTAAGTGCTAATCACCATTACAAGTGCTAGTGATTGATCGGATACTTGCAAACATTTTTGAGTAGAGTGAACATTCCTATAATATTCCTAGAAAACAACATTCAAAACAGGCTGAAGGAAATCTTTGCTCATTGTTTTAACTTCGTATTTTTAGAAGGTTTGTGCTTTCTTTAAAATATCATGCAAGGCAACTAGTACTGGTTTAAAATTACACATTTTTAAAGTTTTGTCATAAGTTTTTTCTCATGTGCAGAGAAAACATATATCTAAATAAAATGTGAGCTTTTCACTTAATGTTGATGAAGATTCTTGTGTGAGTGACTTGTAGAGACAAAATTCTCAGGAGAATCCTGTGAGGCTCTAGGGAAGACATGGATGTGGCAGCCAGCACTCCGGCCACCTGAAGGAGGGCTCCACCTATGTCAGCTGTGCTGAGGCCCTGCAGGGGCCTGCACGTGTCCCCAATCACCAAGGCCCACATGCAGTGGGGACAGGAAACTCAGACTCTAGGTGAAGTGCTCCTTACAAGAAGGGTCAGCTGTGTACCTGGCAACTGCCACTCACAGCAGCGGGGGTCAGTGCACCAGTGAGGGGCAGGGAAATGCAAGGACATTGAGGGTTCCAAAGGCAGCCAGGTTGAAAGGAAGGGAGGTGAGCAAAGCAACTGCAAGAGTGAGAGGTAAAGCAGCTGGTGGAAGTCTGCAGGACTGAGAGGGGAACTGGTGGGAGCACAGAATATTTACAATACATTTGTTTTCTTATTAGGTAATCAATGTTTTAAGTTATTCAGATCTTGCCATCTTCTGAAGATTAATTAATGTTTTTAATGTTTTTAATTGTGTGACAATTATTTCCATGGCAAGAAATATTAAGAAGAAAGCCAGATAAAATATATCCAGGTGTTGTTGGATTTGAAAGCATCCTTACATTTGTAGAGATAACCTTTGGCCTTACCAAATGTTCCTCTTTATAAGAGAAAAATCAGTAGAAAACTTGGGGAACTGAGGCACTCAGCAACAGAATAATACAGTGTAATTAGGTATGATGAAGGCCATTTGCACCTGAAGATGTTCAAAAGGATTACTTTGAAGTAAATTGCCACAATTGGTCAAGAATTTTGAACAGAGGATCAATCACACAAGTCAGAAGAAGCTACAAGGCTTGTATATCCTAATATGTAGAATAGAAAAATAAAATTCTGCTGAAGTCAACTCTGCTGCTCTTCTTGCTTGCAAGCACAGAGGATAACTGATAGATCTAAATGTAACCAGAAAGAACTGCTTTGTCTTTAGAATGTGTATTTTGAAAGGTGAAGTACAAGAAATTTCAAAAATATTTACAAAATAACAAATCTATTTACTCCAAAATACAACGGAAAAATTAAGATTAGAGTTTTATTTTGTCTATAAAACATGTTGATTTTAACTTTTACTAACTACATGTATAGTTTAGCATTTGTTACATTTTAATGTACTGCGTACATTAGATTTTTTCACTTTGCAGTAATACCCTGATGTGCAAAAAGATTGCTAAGAAATATGAATAAATGGCAATTTTATTATTTTTAGCTAAATAATTATAATTTCAAAAGAAATCTAATAAAAATCATGTCGAATCATTGAGTATAAAATTACATATAATATGCAATGTTCTAGAATGATTATATGATATTATGCATGACATTTCCAAGATGAAAGCTTCTATAGCTTACAAAAGACTTAATACAAAAGACCTGAGAGGAAAAAAATGGCATAAAACAATAAATGACCTACTTTTTACTTCCTGGCTTATCACAATACTTAAATGATGAAGCAACCAAGGATTTAATATCTAACAGATAAATCAGATGTGATAGCAGTTTTCACAAACTATAAGTATACATTATTTTTCTTGAGTTTTCTTTGTGTTATCTCCGTATTGCTATGAATATGCCTGGGTCATCTTACTGTGTTGTTGGGATGGTAGTTGAGATGTAAGCCACTGTCACAAAGGGGAGAGGAGGTACCACTGCTCTGGTCACTTGGGGCACCTGCAGGAGACAAAATTGCAACATTCCACTGGTTAGATTTCCATACCATTCTAGACTGACATATTCCACATTAAACTTGCGAGTATACTCAATAAAATCAAATACATCGGGCCGGCCCGGTGGCGCACTGGATAGTGCGCCGCTTGGGAAGCGTGGCGGCGCTCCCGCCCGAGGGTTCGGATCCCACATACAGACCGGTTCCCACTCACTGGCTGAGTGAGGCGCGGGAGC